CTTTTGGAGCTGACTGTACTTAGGTATCGTCATGAGCTAATGTTCACATGTAAACAGCAGCTCATGTAAAGAGATTGTCCAGTCAACTGATGGTAGCGGTGACTGTCCAGGCGACACACGTAATTAGGTATCGTCATGAGCTAATGTTCACATGTAAACAGCAGCTCATGTAAAGAGATTGTCCAGTCAACTGATGGTAGCGGTGACTGTCCAGGCGACACACGTACTTAGGTATCGTCATAAGCTAATGTTCACATATAAACAGCAGCTCATGTAAAGAGATTGTCGAGTCAACTGATGGTAGCGGTGACTGTCCAGGCGACACACGTACTTAGGTATCGTCATGAGCTAATGTTCACATGTAAACAGCAGCTCATGTAAAGAGATTGTCCAGTCAACTGATGGTAGCGGTGACTGTCCAGGCGACACACGTACTTAGGTATCGTCATGAGCTAATGTTCACATGTAAACAGCAGCTCATGTAAAGAGATTGTCCAGTCAACTGATGGTAGCGGTGACTGTCCAGGCGACACACGTACTTAGGTATCGTCATGAGCTAATATTCACATGTAAACAGCAGCTCATGTAAAGATATTGTCCAGTCAACTGATGGTAGCGGTGACTGTCCAGGCGACACACGTACTTAGGTATCGTCATGAGCTAATGTTCACATGTAAACAGCAGCTCATGTAAAGAGATTGTCCAGTCAACTGATGGTAGCGGTGACTGTCCAGGCGACACACGTACTTAGGTATCGTCATAAGCTAATGTTCACATATAAACAGCAGCTCATGTAAAGAGATTGTCGAGTCAACTGATGGTAGCGGTGACTGTCCAGGCGACACACGTACTTAGGTATCGTCATGAGCTAATGTTCACATGTAAACAGCAGCTCATGTAAAGAGATTGTCCAGTCAACTGATGGTAGCGGTGACTGTCCAGGCGACACACGTACTTAGGTATCGTCATGAGCTAATGTTCACATGTAAACAGCAGCTCATGTAAAGATATTGTCCAGTCAACTGATGGTAGCGGTGACTGTCCAGGCGACACACGTACTTAGGTATCGTCATGAGCTAATGTTTACATGTAAACAGCAGCTCATGTAAAGATATTGTCCAGTCAACTGATGGTAGCGGTGACTGTCCAGGCGACACACGTACTTAGGTATCGTCATAAGCTAATGTTCACATGTAAACAGCAGCTCATGTAAAGATATTGTCCAGTCAACTGATGGTAGCGGTGACTGTCCAGGCGACACACGTACTTAGGTATCGTCATGAGCTAATATTCACATGTAAACAGCAGCTCAAGTAAAGAGATTGTCCAGTCAACTGATGGTAGCGGTGACTGTCCAGGCGACACACGTACTTAGGTATCGTCATGAGCTAATGTTCACATGTAAACAGCAGCTCAAGTAAAGAGATTGTCCAGTCAACTGATGGTAGCGGTGACTGTCCAGGCGACACACGTACTTAGGTATCGTCATGAGCTAATGTTCACATGTAAACAGCAGCTCAAGTAAAGAGATTGTCCAGTCAACTGATGGTAGCGGTGACTGTCCAGGCGACACACGTACTTAGGTATCGTCATGAGCTAATGTTCACATGTAAACAGCAGCTCAAGTAAAGAGATTGTCCAGTCAACTGATGGTAGCGGTGACTGTCCAGGCGACACACGTACTTAGGTATCGTCATGAGCCAATGTTCACATGTAAACAGCAGCTCAAGTAAAGAGATTGTCCAGTCAACTGATGGTAGCGGTGACTGTCCAGGCGACACACGTACTTAGGTATCGTCATGAGCTAATGTTCACATGTAAACAGCAGCTCAAGTAAAGAGATTGTCCAGTCAACTGATGGTAGCGGTGACTGTCCAGGCGACACACGTACTTAGGTATCGTCATGAGCTAATGTTCACATGTAAACAGCAGCTCAAGTAAAGAGATTGTCCAGTCAACTGATGGTAGCGGTGACTGTCCAGGCGACACACGTACTTAGGTATCGTCATGAGCTAATGTTCACATGTAAACAGCAGCTCAAGTAAAGAGATTGTCCAGTCAACTGATGGTAGCGGTGACTGTCCAGGCGACACACGTACTTAGGTATCGTCATGAGCTAATGTTCACATGTAAACAGCAGCTCAAGTAAAGATATTGTCCAGTCAACACGTAGTTAGGTACTCGTGTTTTTGGTATTGCATCTGGTTTTGAAGTTGCCTATACATTACAAACATAAGGTTCTTTCGTAAGTACTTAATAAAAGTCTACCGCAAAGGTCACGTAAGGTTATAATAAATTCTCAAAAAAATCTGTGTCATATGAACATTTTTTATTGCAAAAGTTTGTGTAAGTACACACTTGAATCTTGATAAACAAGGTACTTACGATTATGATGGTGACTCTTTATTTTTTTTATTGGTTGAGTATAAACGAGTACTCAGATCACCTGATATGAATCAGCGCCATCTATGGACATTCGGATGGCAGCTGCTGCTCGGTCTATGTCTAATGTTTAATCACTGTTTTGTGAGGGGAAAATCGACAAGTGACTTCTCACTCCTAGGGTGAGGCGAGAGGGAGTGTCAGACTCTTACTGACTAAAAACCACCCTGTCCCTTCTCCTGCTCTGGGTTGAGGCCGCGGTGCCTTTTTGCGCTTGCCCCGCAACCCCGACTGAACACCAGTCCTTTTGGTCCCCGTCTGCGGTGGTCTATTGGCTCTTTTAGGTGCACGCGAAGCGCTACGCGCCGAACGCTCAGCTCTTGTTCCAGTCAGGCAGCGAGCCACCCTTACTAGTATCCGACAATGTAAAGTCCCTTAGCCTGTGCTTATGGTACAAACTGGAAGAGTAGAAGTAATGACAGCTATATGCAATTCTACCTTTACCACATTTGTAAGATAGGGTGGAGCAGATGCTTCGCCTGATGGTAAGCAAAGGACACCAGAGGAGCTAGAAGTCCCAATCAGGCATGGGAAGAGAGGTTGGATCTCCAACTGAGAAGTCTTGGACATTAATCACCACGCTTGCTTTAAGCGAATTGGCGATTTAAAAGTTGTAAGCAGAAATCATAAGTCCAGGTTTCCTCACGATGTTTTCCTTCACCGTTTGACAGTGGATTCAAAAGAAATAATCTTTGAAAGTTTACATAACTCGGCAAAAGTCATATTGGCATCAGCCACCGAACCTACACACTCTTGCGTGGAAAGCGGGATCTTAACATCTGGAGTTCTAGACCATCATGACATTAGAGGCATTTTTGATACCTTACTAATAATATAAACGCGAAAGTTTTGAAGTCAGTATGGCAGGATGTAGATTATAGTCTTAGAATAAAACACATTACAACAACATTTTTTATCCGCGGGTACTAAAACGTTATTTAAAAATGTACAGATCATCATCATCTTCCTGCCCTTTTGTCCCGTTTTATTTGGGGTCGGCGCAATATGTTTTTTTCTTCCATTCTGTCCTGTCACCCGTCACGCTATCGCTAACTCCTCTGTCTTCCATATCACTTCTTACACAATCCATCCATATTTTCTTTGTTCTCCCTCTCCCTAAAAATGTACAGATATCGTAAAAAAATGCAAAAATATTTATGATTTGCACATATCACAAGTGTTGAAGAGCCATGCTGGATCGATCGGAGTGATACCACGGCCTCACAGGAAACCGGCGTGAAACAACCACAGCGTTTGTTTTGCTATGTGAGTGAGGTTACCGGACGCCCAATCCTTCTCCTCCCCCAATCCCTCCCCAATTTCTAAATCTCCAAATCCCTAATCCCCAAAATGTCGGCATATCACTTGTAACTCCTTTATCATTGCGAGTGCCCATGGGCGGCGCTGATTGCTTACCATCAGGTAATCCGTCTGCTCGCTTACCGACCTCTTACATAAAAAAAACACAAACCAGTTGGTTAAAGTTAAGTAATGTGTTAAGTGCTCGATGTTAATTAAAACTAGTTATGACTTCATAATAAATGCCTTATTCATAATAAAGTTATTGCACGTATGGCAACTACTGAATGCAGTTACTTAAGAATTGATATCATCGACAGCTGGAGTTACACATGACCAATTGTAAGTGGTTCCGTACCATTCGGTCATTTGTTTACTAAAGCAACTAGCTTTTGTCTGCGACTCCTTACGCGTGGAATAGTGACTTCCTGCAGATTCTAGGCATAAAAACTATCCTATGTCCTTTCTCCAGTTTCCAACTATGTCTGTACCAAAGTTAACAGAAATCGGTTCAGTAGTTTAGACGTGAAGAAAAAACAGACAGACAGAGTTATTACATAGGAAAAGTTGAAATAATTCATTTCTGACTTATTAATACAAGATAGCTTTCTAGTGACTATATGAACAAAATAGTGTAGGACAGTAGTGTTTAGACACGAATGGGCGGGCTTGGCCGGAGTTATACCACGACCTCACAGATTACGCGAGTGAAACAACGGTTGCATTGTGTTTCGCCGTGTGTCTGAGGTTACCGAAAGTCCAATTTTTACTCTTACCCTACCCAAATCCTTAACAGCCCATAAAAGGCGTCAATGCGCTTGTTACTCCTTGGATGCTGCGAGTGATCATGGGCGGCGTTGATTACCTTACCCTAACGTGATCCATCCTCTCTTTTGCCTACCTATCTCATAAAGGCGTACTGTTAGATAGATATTTAATTTTTATTACAAGATACTTGTTGGCATACCTTTTAATATGTTTAGCACTCACGGTTTCACGTGCAACGCAATGTTTTTATTTTTTTTTTACCATTCATCCTTGTCGCATGATTGGTGACAAAAACTAACTGGTAGATAAATGGTCTACTAAGAGTATTTGAAAGTATAAATGGACTATAAAATACTATAAAGATATGTATTTGTCATACAGCACTGATTATAGAAATACACAAGGAAAACACGTAGGGATTACTCATAAGTGACTCGTGTATAAAAACGATCCATATTTGATAACTAATTTATTCTTTTCTATTGTTTCAGAACACCAAATCGGGTCCAACAATCATACCCTGGGGCACTCCGAACATGATTTCACGAACTTCCCGTCCGGCGATTCTAATACCAACGTATTTGCACCCCAAACCACCGTATCGGCTTGTCCTCTCCCCTTAGACAATCAACAACCCTTGCACAATGAAAAAAAATCAGAAAAAATGCCTTCTAGCGTATCAAAGGCCTCACTTAATACGGAAGACGACTTTGACGTTAATGAGTATTTTGCCCGATTACATGGAACTCGTTACGTGAGCGCTCCTATAAACAGCAATCCTGACGAAAACGCGAACCTAGCAGCTGAGGATAACTTGGAAGAGATTAATTTGAACGATGATAAGGCTGCAGAACCTCAACAAAGTTTGACAGCAGATATTGCGCAGAACTTCTCTCAGTTACCAACGGTTTTGCCTCATGTAGCTAGCGCTGTATTCAGTTCTTTTTCCAATATGTTAAGTTACAAGAGTAGGGAACAAACTCCTGACGATAGGGGGCAACATGAGACGTTCCAACCTGGTCCTGGTCCTGTTGGTTCAGGTTTTGTTGGGCAGAATCTTACCGTTGATACGCCGCCGATGGCTGAAGAAGTGGCTAAAGATGTGGCGCCGCCGCCTAAAGAAATGGCTAATGCTGGTGAGTTTTATTTTCAAATTACTTATTTGATTAAGAAATCGTTAATAGATCTTTTAGAATATTTATTTATTTATTTATTTATCACCAACATACAATATCTAAACTCAACTCTAGCTTCCGCCTTTGTCCTATTTCGGAGTGTATCTTATGTATGCCTGTGCCAAATTTCAACTAGATCCGTCCAGCCGTTTAGGCGTCATGAGTAACAAACATCCAAACATCCAAACATCGTAACTTTCGCATTTATAATATTAGTAAGAAGTAAGATACCCGTAGTAAAATTTGTAAGTTTGTATTTAGGGGGTAATCTTTGGAACCGCTGGTCGGATTGCCAAAATTCTTTCACTGATAGATAGCTACAATGTTCCTGAGTGCTATAGGCTAAAACATCACGCTACGATCAAATGGAGCTGAGAAGCGGGTCAAACCGCGCGAGAGTAGCTAGTCATAGTTTTAAAAACATACAAATAATCTTTTGTACTTACATGTAGCAGAATATTTGTCGGTACATCCAGTGATGGTTTTCCATTGACCTTACGAAGGGGTCACGTTAGGGGTCATGGTGTCTTACCGTGAGAACACCATGGCTACCAATACCTTTACTTTTACATATTGTTAGTTTTATTACTGCTATAATATTTTGTGTATTGATAACGAAATTTTTTAATTAAGTACAGGAAAAATTACACTCTGTCGACGTGTCGACTGCGATATACATACAAGTTATTGCCAAATTTCATCTTTCTACTGCTAATGGTCACTGACATTATCCGCGGACGGACAGACAGACAGACATGGTGAAACTATAAGGGTTCCTAGTTTACTACGAATCTTAAAAACGCTTTGTTTTATGTAGTACCTGATGGTAAGTAATCATCGCGGCCCTTGGACACCCGCAACGGAGGAGTTACGAGTGCGTTGCCGACCTTTAATTAGGGATTTGGAGTTTTAGGGATTAGAGAGGATCGGGTCTCTGGTAAACTCACTCACACGGCGAAACACAATACTGTGGCTGTTTCACGCCGATTTTCTGTGAGGCCGTGGTATCGCTCCGGTCGAGCTGACCCATTCGTGCCGAAGCATGGCTCTCCCACACTTAAACTTGCTCTGTGAATGAGATTACCGGCGCAAATCTTCCTCAAAGCAATTTACCTCATCCCCACAAAATTCAGGCAACGCTCAAGCTCGATCAAGTACAGCGGCCTCAGTCAAGAGCAAACAAGAAAAGGAACAGGGCGGTTTTAGTCATTAGGAGTCTGACACTCTCTCTCGCCTGACCTTGGACGAGAGAAATAAAAGGATCAGGAACTTTTCTGGTCTTGCAGACAATCATACTATCAGGTGATCCTTCGACTCTTTTACCGTAAAAAAAAAATATAAGTAGTTAAAGACATTTTCCAATACTGCTGCGTGTTACTAACGCCTTATTAAATGTTTGAATAGCGACTTGACACGTTAAATTATAGTTCTAGGATTAAAGTATCGTGTGCGTTTTCATTTACAAACGTTATTTTGTTTTTTTTTAACTTTAAGTGCACAAAGATAGTTTTGTTACGCCGAGAGATGGGACGGGGTTGGTTTTGGTCAGTATGAATCTGGCGCTCCTTCACCCCCTACTAAGGCCTCGTTTAAGCGGCGCGTTGTGCGGTGCGATGTGCGGTTCGTCATACATTGCTCGTGATGTTCATATGTTTGTGTTTGCACGGCCGTTGACACGACTTGATGCTGTAATGTACGACAAACGATATACGCGTGTACGTAAACGAGACCTTCACATTATTTAGCCCATAAGTGCCCACTGCTGAGCAAAGGCCTCTTCTCACACAGAGAAGGTTTGAGCATTAATCACCACGCTTGCTCAAGGCGGGTTGGCGATTTCAAACTTATAATTAGAAATTAAAGTCCAGGTTTCCTCACGATGTTTACCTTCACCGTATGTTAGAGGTGTCTAAATAATCATAGAAAGTACATATAACTCGGAAAAAGTCACATTGGCCAGGTTTCGAACCCACGCCCTCATGCATGGAACTGGGACGCCGTCTCCTCCTTTTGTGAAGCAGTCATGCTCGCAAAGAGAGAGGCGGCCCGCGTGAGGGAGCAATCCTCCTCCTCACGCCCCAGAAGCCGCAACTGGCGACACTACGAACGTCGGGGATCGAGGGACGATCTCCGGCCACCGTAAGCACGGGCCTGCGGTCGGCGAGTAAGGGCAGCTCGCCGCCCGACCAGAACCAGGCCCGAGCGTACGGCGCGTAGCGTTCCGCGCGCGCCTCAAAGAGCCATTCGACCACCACAGACGGGGCACTAAAGGGCTGATGTTCAGCCGGGGTTGCGGGGTAAGCGCAATGAGGCACCGCGACCTCGGCCCAGAGCAGGGGAAGGAACAGGGGGGTTTTTATTCAGTAAGAGTCTGACACTCCCTCCTGCCCGGCCCTCGGCGGGAGAAGTCATTTGATGATTTTACCCTCACAAAAAAAAAAAGGTCAGGAGTAGTGTTTAAATGATTTTGCTTTCTCAAAAATAAGAAGATAATATAAGTAAGCCTGATGGGGTTATGGCTCTGGGTGTCATGTGTATGCGAAATTGTCTATTTGTAACCGCAGCCACAATACAGGAAAACATCTAGTCTGGGCCAACGTTTTTTAATAAATAGAGAAATGAAAACCTCACCACCGTCCTGCGAACCTCAACGCTGTGATTGTTTGACGCTGGCTTACTGTGAAGCCGTGGTATCACTCCAGTCGAGCCTGCCCATTCGTACAGAAGCCAGTATTTAAGCACACATAGGGATATAGGGTCAGAGAAAGTGACCTAATATCTGATTGTTATGAGAAATAATATTTTGTGACACCGGTTGTATCGTGACGTGCCCGACATTGCAAACGCACGCCAGTCCAGTCCAGCACTCAATTGCCTACATAATTGCTAGACTGCTCGGCGGTGTTTAGAAAACCGGAATAACAGACTACCGTCTTAACATTGCCGGTTTTTCTTCGAAAGACTTTGGTAGTGTAAGACTATGTATGTATATAGAGCCAATTCCTTGTAGTTGGGGTCTCAGCAAATGCTGAGCATATCCTTTTTTTGCGCACGTACCTCATTAAATAACGACGAAGGGAGGGAATTTGGTTGTGTTTCGCCGTGTGAATGAGGTTACCGGAGGCCCAATCCTTCCCCTTCCCGGACCCTTCCCCAATCCCTAAATCTCCAAATCCCTTTAAGGTCGGCAACGCACTCGTAACTCCTCCGTTGCGGGTGTCCATGGGCGGCGTTGATTGCTTACCATCAGGTAATCCGTCTGCTCGTTTGCCGACAAAAAAAAAATTCTAAACTTAGTACAATTAAGATATGTTTTTTGTTATTGTTTGTCACCATAGAGAATAATTATTACAAGCACTATGTTTATTTGTTACAAATTATGTTACTTCCTTGTACTTATGGTCCACAGATAATGAATAAGATACACGCGACCTCGTGCATAATGTCATACTCTGTGAACCATAAACAAAAGTTTTCAATTTTTTTTTATTTTTTGTTATAGTTAGTTTCGATTATTAGTTTAGTTATTTTCTTCTTTTTTTTTGTATCTTTGTTTTCTATGTGTGTGCGCTTGCGCAAAAATAAATGATTGTTTTTTTCTTAAATTTTTCTGTGCCCAATATCCAACAATTTTTTAGTGATATCCATATTGGTGTTATGAATAAAGTTGTTTTTTTTTTGAGCACCAGTAGTGGGTGGGGTCCTTGGATATGTCCCTGGTTCAACCTAATACACTGAATATCTTTCGCAACCAAGTTTAGTTCCAGGTAACTGTCTGAGAGACTAGCCATTTGATTGAATGCCTAAGTTTCTTATTCAATGAAACAATGAATTTATTTTTGCAAATAGGCCATAAAACGGCCCTTTTACACGTCAATGTATATGTGAAAAACTAGAAGAAGCTGGCATTACCTATCTGATTACTCTGAGAAAGATACAAACTCAGAGGTCAGTCTCTTACATATATTCAGGCTGTAAGTTAAAACGTGGATAGGTTGTCAATTAAATTAAGATGCTAGGATATATATAGCAGAATAGTTTTTTTTGCCAAGCCAAAATTATCCAATATCATCTCACTCAACTAGGTCGATGTCCCTGGTTCAACCTAATACACTGAATATCTTTCGCAACCAAGTTTAGTTTCAGGTAACTGTCTGAGAGACTAGCTATTTGATTGAATGCCTAAGTTTCTTATTCAATGAAACAATGAATTTATTTTTGCAAATAGGCCATAAAACGGCCCTTTTACACGTCAATGTATATGTGAAAAACTAGAAGAAGCTGGCATTACCTATCTGATTACTCTGAGAAAGATACAAACTCAGAGGTCAGTCTCTTACATATATTCAGGCTGTAAGTTAAAACGTGGATAGGTTGTCAATTAAATTAAGATGCTAGGATATATATAGCAGAATAGTTTTTTTTGCCAAGCCAAAATTATCCAATATCATCTCACTCAACTAGGTCGATGTCCCTGGTTCAACCTAATACACTGAATATCTTTCGCAACCAAGTTTAGTTTCAGGTAACTGTCTGAGAGACTAGCTATTTGATTGAATGCCTAAGTTTCTTATTCAATGAAACAATGAATTTATTTTTGCAAATAGGCCATAAAACGGCCCTTTTACACGTCAATGTATATGTGAAAAACTAGAAGAAGCTGGCATTACCTATCTGATTACTCTGAGAAAGATACAAACTCAGAGGTCAGTCTCTTACATATATTCAGGCTGTAAGTTAAAACGTGGATAGGTTGTCAATTAAATTAAGATGCTAGGATATATATAGCAGAATAGTTTTTTTTGCCAAGCCAAAATTATCCAATATCATCTCACTCAACTAGGTCGATGTCCCTGGTTCAACCTAATACACTGAATATCTTTCGCAACCAAGTTTAGTTTCAGGTAACTGTCTGAGAGACTAGCTATTTGATTGAATGCCTAAGTTTCTTATTCAATGAAACAATGAATTTATTTTTGCAAATAGGCCATAAAACGGCCCTTTTACACGTCAATGTATATGTGAAAAACTAGAAGAAGCTGGCATTACCTATCTGATTACTCTGAGAAAGATACAAACTCAGAGGTCAGTCTCTTACATATATTCAGGCTGTAAGTTAAAACGTGGATAGGTTGTCATTTAAATTAAGATGCTAAGATATAATACCAGAACTGTTTTTTGCGTTGCCAAAATTATCCAATGTCTTCTCACTCAACTAGGTCGATTTGTGAACTTGTAGTATCTCCTTTGGTATTACGAGGGTCCATCGGCGGCGCTAATTGCTCTCCATCACATCTGGTATGATATAAAAAAAAAACACCGAATGATTTCTCTCGCTCGGTATTCTCACACGGCGAAACACAACGGCCTGATTGCTTGTCACGTCAAGGGTCAGTTCGCTAGCCGACCTATGTCATAAAATACTTTTTAGTAACCTACTAGTTGTCTACCTACCCTACCCACTCTACTATCTACCCTATCTTCTTCTGGTTCTAAAGTACTATAACAGACAGAAGTGGACTGTCAGTCTCGCAAAACTATGGCAAAGCAATATTAGTTGTACTTATGACCTTCTTCTATAAGAACGTTTGACAACAATTACACATTAGCAACTTGTTGCCCGCTTATGAATTTTATTACATATTTCAATGACTTTCTTAAGCGATACGGTGGCCAAGTTGGTTGGCACGGTACTTCGTATGGCTCATGATCGGGTTCGATTCTCACATCAAACATTACAGATATTTTTTAAGTATGACACATCCCTATGTACTTTAAAATTCTCAGCAAAATAGGTTCAGCCGTTCTTGAGTTATAAATAGGGTTACTAATACCATTTTTTATTTCATAACTAGCTTCCGCACGCGTCCAAAAGTGATGCATACTGGGTTTATAAAAACGGCAGCGTTTCAAGCTGTAGCTCGACTAAAATACGCTAATCAAGTATAATTTATAGCCTCTAGCACTCAGGAACATTGTAGCTATTTATCAGTGAAAGAATTTTGGCAATCCGACCAGCGGTTCCAAAGATCCCTTCATACAAACTTACAAATTTTACCTCTTAATAATATTAGAATAGATATGTATATCTATGGTTACATTTATAAAATTAACAGAAAAATACGCTAGGAAAATAGAAAACAAACAGTCTATAACTAGATCAAACATGTCAGTTTAAGAGAAAGCTATACAGCGTTTATCGGCCAATTATCCTGACCTGACTGCTTCAGTACTTAGACCACTTGTACACTGGTTTAAACAAGTATATCAAGGAACTAATTATGAACTGTTACTTGAATAAATCAATACATAATGAAAACTGGTTCTGTTCTGTCGGAAAATGTAGGAAAATTTTCTTGATTCTCGTTCTGTTATGTGGCAGACTTATCTTGTTATTTAACTTTAATCACCACGCTTGTTTAAGGCGATTTGGGGTGATTTTAAACTTTTAATTAGGAATTTATATATGTAGATATGTATCTATATAGTATTGTTTTTTAATATTTTATTTTATTTTAATCATAGTCACTTCGTATAAACATATTTCCCGTACCTATTTTTCGCAGATTTTCCACTTGAACCAAAGGGCTGACTGGTGGAGAATGCCATATGGCATTAAGTCCGCCTTTTGTACCAACTTCATTTCATTGTGTACAATAAAGCATAAATAAATAAATAAAATTTATAAGTCCAGGTTTTGTTACGATGTTTTTCTTCAGTCGCGTATGTCAGTGGTGTCCAAATAATCATAGACAGTACATGTTTTTCTGAAAAAATCACATTGGTATCTATTTGCCAGCTTTCGAATCTGGACACTTATACGTGAGAAGCAGGCGCCTTAACCTCCGGGACACCACGACATTTTTGTCGGTATAACTTTAGCTTTAATAACCACGCTTACTCAAAGTGGATATTTTAAAGTTTTAATAATAATACCGGAGACCCAATCCTTCCCCTCCCCCAATCCCTCCTCAATCTCTAAATATCCAAATCCCTAATTTCTAAAAGTTCGGCAACGCACTCGTAACTCTTCCGTTGCGGGTGTCCATGGGTGGCGCTGATTGCTTACCATCGGGTAATCCGTCTGCTCGTTTGCCGACCAATTACAAAAAAAAAAGTATACGTTTCGTCACAGTGTTTTTCTTCGCAGCCTCATATGTTAGTGGCGGTTAAATAAACTTTGAAATTACATAACACTGAAAATAACATATTTTTAAAGCAAGGGGAGAGAGTTGTGAATGAAGTGCAATAACATGCCACGGCCTGGCTCGAAGCAGGAGCTTGAACAGCGTGGGTCTTAGTCAGTAAGCGTTTGACACTCCGTCTGGTCCCGTCCAGACCAGATGATCACGTTTGTTCGATGATTTCTTGAAGTAAAGTCAGCGTACATACAAACATTAAAGAGGAACGAGGCGTGGAATCCATGTACCATCCATACTCAAATTATTTTATCCTACTTGGAGGACACAATATCTGTGTTACGTAATAGATGACCAATCATAAATAATATTGAACCATTTTCTCTCTTGTTACAGGTGCACCCAACTTCAGGATAACATCGAAAAAGAGATACGCTCAAATACCAGGCCTAAGTTCAGGCACCAATTTCGAGACGTTACAGAAAATTGAACTTAATCCCTTAACGAAAAACGTTACAAATTACTTTGTACCGTCTTACGAGGAAAAAGCCGAAGAGCCTACAGTAACACCAGCCCAAACGACGGAAGCGCCAAAACATGACACTTACGATATTTTCAGTCCAAAACCTGAGGCGAATGCAAGCGATTTTCAATCTAATGCCTTTAATATTACTATGGATAATGATTCAAAATCGTTTGAAGAACGCTTGCCTCCACCCACGTCGTATGCTATGCAAGGCAATGCCACAATACCTCCACCTCCGATGTTCTCTTCTCAGAGAACTAGTTCACAGTCAGCCAAGTCTGTACTTCCCCCGTCAGTTGCAAGGCGAATTGGATCTAATCACCCAGTAATAAAGCCTCAAACTGTCCAAACGTTTAACACTGAAAATATATTTGTACCAACATTTGATCCAACAGCCTTTCCGAATGATCCGGCTCAAGCTATTGGGTCTTCTTTTGGAGAAACACATTCCCAATCGTTTGATAGCCAAATTGTCATGCAACAGCCTACGTCTCACAGCCAAGATGCTGCATTAAATAATATGACAAGTATACCACCGCCAGCTCAATTCACGCAACCAACTCCTGCATTCACAGCACCACAAACATTGCCACCACCGCCTTCCAACATACCAGCGAATGTACCAGCACCGCCAATGTTTGCCTCAACACAACCATCAAGTACTTCAATATTTACGCCTCCAAAATCAGAAGACAAATCAAAATCTTCTACAGAAACAAAACCACCAAATGTATTTGCGCCAACACCACCTACTCAAGTACCACCAGGGCCAATAAAACCCCCAACTGCAGGATCCACACCGAATATAGCACCACCAACGTTCTTCAGTCCACCTCCAGTCGAAACTGGTACAACTTTTTACAGTACAGATAATGTTCAGGTGCAACCAAGTCAACAGTTTGTATCAGAGCCTCCTAAACCTTTAGTAGAACCGCCAAAAGCTACAGGAGCTGTGAATTACAGGCTCAATAAGAAACGGCCTCAGTATTACTCAGGGCCTATTGAAGGCGTTGGTTCTATCAGTAATAGTATAAAGCCTGTTATAGCTCCAGTTGATCCTGGAACATTCCATGGAGCTATGTTCACACCAGAACAGCCAGCAGACCTAAATGTGCCATCTTCAGTCCCATTCGATTTAAGTAAGCCAGCTGAAACAACGCCTCTAGCCCCTCCGTATAACACTGCAAATCTTATAAAGGCACCAACCCCAGTCTTTGATATAAGTCAGACAGCTCCATACCAACATTTCGATATTTCTAATCCTGTTCAGAACACAGCACAATACAATACGGCATTCGATTTAAGCAGACCGACAACAGAAACCTATGAACCTGTTGAACAAAAAGAATCTAAGGGCTTCGGTATAATTGGATCGCTAAAATCTAAACTAAGCAGCATAGATATCAATAAGATTCAACATAGCGTGACAACCTTCTTCGATCCAGCTTACAACGATACGTCAAAGCAAGAGATGACTGCACAGCAAAATGCACCTTACGCACATAATCCATATCAGGCACAAACGGCTCAGACGAATCTAGAAATATTTGTGCCAAGCGCTCAACAAAATACCCAACAGTATGGTTACGATTACCAACAGCATTCCTTGTATTCAAACAATGAATATTACAAGTACCCAAATTTCCAAAATCAAGGACAACCAGAAGCCGGTCATTGCTCTAATGAGCATCATTATCCAAGTCATTTGCAACAACATCCCAAATCATTTGACAACGCCCAACATGGATATGGGAATCAGCCTATGAATTCTATGTTCCACTCTTCCAACTTACAAATGCAAGAAAATAACACCAATATGACTGTAGGACCTAATAAACCTAACAATGTAATGACATTCAAAGAAACACAAGATTTTAATGCTGAAAGACAAATGGATGAAAACGTAGCAAGAGCTGGACCTGAAGTTTCTAGACTTCTACAAAGCACGACTAATATAGAAGAACGATTTGCTGCTAACTTCTTTGACAATCAGTATGGGAGTACATCAGAACCTATGAAACAAGTAGCTGATGATACCCCTCGTGATATTCCACCAATAGGACAAGACAGAACTTTTATAAAAGAATCTTTTGAACCCATCAAACAAGACACTCAATTTGCTACGGAACCGGTAGCTATGTTTAATCCGAACACTATAGATCTATTTGCTAACATGAAAATTGATAGCAAGGACGATAATAACGAAAAAACGACTAACATCTTCACAAACCAAAGCTTTAAAAGTGAAGAAAAACAAAACATATCAAGTAATGAAGCACAAAGTCTAGATTTATTTGCTAATATTAAAACTGAGAGTGAAAAATCTGAAGAGAAACAATCAAAATTCTTTCCTAGTATGGATAGTAAAGCCAATGTGCAGAGTTTCAATGATGATGCGAAACCACATAACTTATTTCCTGTTGAAAAGAAAGAAATTACTTCTTCAAGAGATAATTTACTTGATTCTTTAACGAAAGATGATGGGACGATTTTAGGCGTATCGTCTGTTCCATTATTTGGTCTTAGCCCATTGGTTGTTGAACAATCAAAAGAAACGGTTGGGTCAGATATGATTGCAAACTTACCTGAAAGAAATGCAAGCATGAGTTTCTTTGACCATTCGCAGAAATTAGAAGATTTTAGTGCCAAGCACGATAACACGTTAAACCGCAATGCTAGCTTAAGTTTCTTTGAAAATATTCCAGCGCCTACAAAAGACGAGAAACATGAAACAGATTCAGACATTAAAATGACAAATTTCTTCGATAATGCAAATGCTATTGGTCAAATACCAAAACATGACGTTGTTGAAGATAGTGACAATTTAGAAAAAGATACTAATACCGATATTCCAAGTACAATAACTCAGGATGACGATGAAAATGTTTCTGAATTAAGCATTTGCGAGACTTGCAGAGAAGTCAATAAGCCAGAAGATAAAGAAGAAGAGCAAGATGTGACAACACAGCTTATAGAAAATATTACAGCTCCAATACAATTGTCGAACCCTGTTGAGGCAACTTTAACTGAGACACCTATTTTAGAACCAGTAAATACGGATCAAGAGACCTTTAACCCTGGACAGTTTGAAGAAATATCTCATATTACGGAAGAAACAATAGAAACCATCCAAGTACAATCTGCCATTGAACTGCTTGACGACGTGGCTGAAATGAAACCTATGAACTATGGTTGGGTGAACGAAAGCGCTTTAAAAGAAGACTACAATTTCAATATTGATAGCAAACAAATAGGTTTCTTTGGAAAGAACTCTCTCTTCTTCGATAAAGGTGCTGCTACGGAAGAAATTGAAAATGAAAAGAACATGTTAGTTCGACAAATGAGCGTACCTTCCGCGCCACCGGCTGAAGAAGAGGATGATTCGAAATCTGACGAAACTGGAGTTCTAGATGTGAATTCTATAGAGCAAGACGCTAAAAAGGACTTTCCACTTTTCGAAGAATTCGTTATAGAACCTTCGGAAAACGATGAAGATAATTTTAAAGAACAAGAAACATCCGAAGCCGTACTAGACTCTTTCACAGATAGAGTAGAAAAATACAAAAGCCTGGAGCCGTCTGAATGCGGCGATGCAATGAGTTTATCCTTCTTCCAGACACAGCATCCTATAGGCATGTCGTCCTACTTTGACACAGGAAATTACGCTGTTGAAACTCATTATAGAAACACGAATACTAGACCAGCTCCCACTTTGAGTATACCGCCAGGTTTCGAAGAAGAGTATAAGAGACGACTTGCTTTAGCAAAGCAGAGAGAAGAGAAATTGAGGCAGGAAATAGTAGTTGTACCTGATACTTCGACTCAGACTAAAACTACGTCGGTAGCTACTTACTGTTCATCTAGAATTGTTCCTAGCTACAACTGTCCTCCTCCACCTGTAGGATTTAATATTGAAACCGATCTATCCAATCTGGTAAAAGACGAAGGTGAAACTACACCAGACAAATTAACACCACCCAATTCCCAAAGCCTTTTGACAGCTGATGGTGATAAGCCACCGGAACGAACAAACGATAATGAAACTAAACTACCTGAATTTGTAAACGTTTTTGGCTTGAAACCGCTTGAGGATTTGGAAGACAAAAAAGAAACATCAGCTGATTCGATAAAAACGTCTGAAGATACAACTAAAGTACTGCCAACATTCCAAGCGTTTGCTGCTAGCGAGCCAAAAGCTGAAGAAAAACGTGAAGAGAAATTGCCAGATCCAATCAACTTCTTTTCAGACGCTAATACAAACGATCCCCCAGAAACATTCAGCCGTCTTGCTAGCTATTTCAGTTCCCCACCAAAAACAGATCACGCTAAATCTTTTTTTGAATTAAGCCAGAGTCAAAATCATTACAGACATGCCACTACTGAGCAAAAAGCGAAAATCAACGATCTAATTAAAGATTTAACTTCGGTTCAAAATTTAACTGCAACTAAAGATCAAACTGTTAAACACGTTAATTATTTTACAATTGAATATGACACTGTGTTATCTGACTTAAAACATGCCGACGTTATTGGTCATGAATCGGCGGATTTGAAAGAAGATGTGAATTTAGATAGGGTTTTTACAAATTGTAGGTATTGTTCGGATATTGTGAATACTAGTTTCACTGTTAGGAAAGCGGTTAATGAACCTTCCGATCAAGGAAGTAATAATAGTCCAGATATGGAACCCCAGAAAAAAGCTGGTCGTGGTTCCGTCACAGTGAATTTCGATGGTGTAGCTGTCCAAGAGGATAATAATGAAAGTGTCTTGGGCGAAGTTGAGGTAATTATGTTTTTAAATAAATCCCAATTTATATTTAAAAGCTTTGTATACGAACCAGGTACAAAATATGATATTATTTCAAATTACAATCAAAATATGCCTAATGACCCCATCATTTGCATTGTAATTAACTTTAATAATTTTAGGTTTAGTTTTTTTGTGTGATAGGATGGCAAACGAGCAGACAGATTATCTGATGGTAAGCAATCGGCGTCCCCCATGGACACTTGTAACACCAGACAAATTACGAGTGCTTTGCCAGCATTTTGGGGATTACGGTTTTGGAGATTTAAGGATGGGAGGGTAACATAACGCTGTGGTTGTTTCACGCCGGTTTACTGAGAAGTTCGAAACAATATTAATAAAAATGGTGTATTTATCAATTTAAAAAGAAATTGTGATTATTGACCCCACAATAAATAGCATGGGGTCATCGGACGGGAACTTTTAATAGGTCATCTAGACAATATTATAATTTTGGATTTATTTCAAATCTAATATGGATATAAAATACGATGTTAAAATTATACATAGGAGTTCCAACACATTCTACCTTACGGCATGCAAAAGAAAATTATTCATCATCATCAGCCTATAAGTGCTGAGCAAAGGCCTCTTCTCATACGGAGAAGGTTAGAGCATTAATCACAACGCTTGCTCAATGCGGGTTGGCGATTTCAAACTTTTAATTAGAAATTATAAGTCCGGGTTTCCTCACGATGTTTACCTTCACCGTATGTCAGTGGTGTCTAATTAATCATAGAAAGTACATATAACTCGGAAAAAGTCACATTGGTACTTGCCAGGTTTTGAACTCACACCCTCATGCATGAGAAGCGGGCTCCTTAACCTCCGGGCCACCACGACATAGTAAAGAAAATTATTATTGTTTTGTGAATGTTAATACTTATTGCAAAATAATGACTTTTCCAGAACCGTTCAGCGACTGAATACACTCCAGTAAAGCATCATTGGTTTTATAGAGTCGACGTCGAAGATAAATCGATATGGAGAGGTTTCTCTGTACTAGATTCGATGGCACTCGAAGAAGCTTATTTGAACCGTAAGTATTTTAATTATTATTATTTTCTTAAGTAGGGCTTCGGCTTGACCGGAGCAGTACCACCGCCTTCTAAAAACCGGCGTGAAACAACTATAGCGTTGTGTTTCGCCGTGTAATTGAGGTTGCTAGATGCCCAATCCCTTCCCTTTCCCCCATCATGCCAAATCCATAAATAGGAATTAATGGCATGGATGATAAAGCCCGAAAAGGCATTTGGAAATCCTCTAGTGCTGCGGGTGTCCATGGGCATCCGATAGCTTACCATCAGGTAATCCGTCAGAATGTTTGCTGCCGTTCACGTAAAATAACTCTTTTTCGGTGAGGTCAAACGAGCAGACGGATCACCTATAGGTAAGTTAATAATCATCGCCATCCAGGGACACCTTCAATGCTACAGACTGCATTTAAAAGTTCAATAACAAGATCTTGACGATGTTTTGCCTCCAGTGACCTTACTCACACGGAAAACGCAAAAAATATTACACGCTGGTTTCTTGTAGCACTGTGTAAAGTCGCCGAATCACACCATCATATCATCAGCGCACAAGATCATTGAGAAGAAGATCTTTTCCCACAAGGAGAAGGTTTGAGCATTACTCAAGAAGAGGGATTGGCGATTTCAAACTTTTCAAAGTCCAAGTTTCCTTATGATGTTTTCCTTCACCGTTTGGCTGTGGTGTCTAAATAGTTTTAGAAAGTACATATCACTTGGAAAAATCCGGGTTAAGCTTTGATAATCCTTATGCATTAAAAGCGGGTGCCTAAAACTCTGGGCCATCACGGCTGTATTTAATATTGTATTTGGTAATTCATAATACACTTACACTTTGACTGCACGGTTGGTGCGGTGGCTGGGCAACTGGCTGCCGTGCAACGTGCAACCTTTAATCACTCCCCTACACTCGTACAGCGCTTCATGTCTCACAGCTACACAGACACGCATAGTTACAGCTACGTGTCGCGGGTTCGATTCCCGCACGGAACAACTCTTTGTGTGATCCACAAATTGTTTTTCCGGGTCTGGGTGTCATGTGTATGTGAAATTGGATGTTTGTAAACGCACCCACGGCACAGGAGAAAATCCTAATGTGGGGCAAAGTATATAAAAAAAAAGAAAGAAATAAAGAAAAAGAAAAACAAAAAGAAAAAAAACACTGCAATAATGAAATATAACTAATTGGAAACTTATATTTTCTCAGCGGACCTCAACGAAAATACAATGGTGCCTACTGACGGCGGTAGATATGATGTGAATATCGTTGGCAGACTAAGAATTCCAGTGTACTGGACGGATAAACCTACGAATGTCCGAAGGTAAGTTACCGTCAGTTGATTGGACAATCTCTTTACATGGGCCGCTGTTTACATGTGAACACTAGCTCATGACGATACCTAAGTACGTGTGTCGCCTGGACAGTCACCGCTACCATCAGTTGACTGGACAATCTCTTTACATGAGCTGCTGTTTACATGTGAACATTAGCTCATGACGATACCTAAGTGCGTGAGTCGCCTGGACAGTCACCGCTACCATCAGTTGACTGGACAATCTCTTTACATGAGCTGCTGTTTACATGTGAACATTAGCTCATGACGATACCTAAGTACGTGTGTCGCCTGGACAGTCACCGCTACCATCAGTTGACTGGACAATCTCTTTACATGAGCTGCTGTTTACATGTGAACATTAGCTCATGACGATACCTAAGTACGTGTGCCGCCTGGACAGTCACCGCTACCATCAGTTGACTGGACAATCTCTTTACATGAGCTGCTGTTTACATGTGAACATTAGTTCATGACGATACCTAAGTACGTGTGCCGCCTGGACAGTCACCGCTACCATCAGTTGACTGGACAATCTCTTTACATGAGCTGCTGTTTACTGAGGTTTTTTAAATTATTTTATAGATGCAGTTGGTTTTACAAAGGTACAACTGACGCCAGATACGTGCCTTATACTGAAGCTGTAGCCGAAAAACTTGAGGTATGTATAAAAATAGTTAAACTTTTTTATTCTGCTTTCGGGTCCTGCTGGCCCTTTATTTGTATAGGACTTCTATGGTGTAGGAAAAAATCAACGCGAAATTGAATGAATAATTTCTTAAACATCATCATCGACTGCACGTTTGGCAGAATAGCTGGGCAATTGGCTGCAACGCAACGGGTCGCGAGTTTGATTCTCGCACGGAACAACTCTTTGTGTGATCCACAAGTTGTTGTTCCGGGTCTAGATGTGTATCTGTAATTGTATGTTTTGTAAACGCACTAACGACACAGGAGGAAATTCTAGAGTGGGCTTAAAAAGCGGGAGAAGGAACGGATGTGTATGTTGTCAATAAAAGTCTGACGGGGAGAAAAAGTACTTAATAAAATGGTTTTATGGCGTCAAAAATAAAGTCCGATATTGATTTTTTTTTTATATGTAATAGTTCCGCAAACGAGCAGACGGATTACCTGATGGTAAGCAATCAGCGCCGCACATGGACACCCGCAACGGAGGAGTTACGAGTGCGTTGCCGACCTTTTAGAGATTAGGGATTTGGAGACTCTGGGATTGAAGAGGGGAAGGATTGGGCCTCCGGTAACCTCACACGGCGAAACACAACGCTGTGGTTATTTCACGCCGGTTTTCTGTGGACCGTGGTCGAGCCGACCCAGTCGTGCCGAAGCATGGCTCTGTGGTACATTTTTATAATAAAATATGATAATCATGTTTCTTTTCCATTATTTCCAGGAGGAATACCGCCACGGTATGACTACGGCTGAATGGCACAGGCGTTTGGTGCTGCCGAACGGGGAAGTGGTTGTGATGCATGGACCTAGTGTAATGGTACACTTTCTACACAGCGATAACGCGTTTAGTACCCCACCGGTGAGTTGAGAATCAAAATTATAAAATATCATAAAATCAATATGCACAAGAAATAAACAATTAGAAAAACTACAATTTAGGGCGGCTTGCACCAAACCTCGATAGTATTTAGGCTAAAATGTAATTAACTAAATGTGATTAAAATACTAAACATAATTAACATAAACGCATTTAGCTACGTCTTGCACCATGCGGTTTGAAGAGATATTTAGTTAAATATCTTTAGCGCGTCGGTAAAATAGTACGTTACGTTTCTTTTCACATAAAATTGAAGTAGAAACGTGAAAAATTGAATTCTATGCATGAAATGAGACGTGTTATGACAACCGACCAAGTTTAAAATACGTTCGGCAAGTATGCTACGCTCTAGCATTCAGAGAGCTTTTTAATTTTGTATCAGTTTATTGTTTTGACTTAGCACAACTGTCAAGTCTGCGATTATTTTGCTGTGTGAATTTATTTACTAAAATTTAAGAAAATGAGTGCATTAATTACGAAATCAAGATCAAGAGCGCCTAATTTTAATAAGGTGGAGCAACTTCTGCTCATAAGAGTTATGGAGCCCTACAAACACATTATAGAAAGTAAGAAAACAGATGAGGTTAAGCAAGTAGTAATGCAAAGTTAAGTTGACTGCCAGTGGCAAAAAATCTTAATGTGCACAATATTTGGTTTAATGGGTGGACAGCATTATTCCTCTGTGAAGTAAGCTTCAATTTATCTTCAATTTGATGCAACAGCAGTAACGTTGTTTCTTTTATCAGCCGAAATCTACGTACAAATTTACTATCACTGAGACTATTGAACAAATTTGTCCTTTCATTCACTTCCCGGATCATAGGACTACTGATGAATTCAATTATTTCTTCATCGTCATCGGAATATAAATCAAAAAAGCTATCCATTTTCCAAAAACGTATCAAACTCGCAGTGAAACAACACAATACGAAAGGAAACAACCTAACCTATCCAACTCTCAACTCAAAACATATGTTCAACAAAAATGGCGCTAATTGCGTTTAGGCGCGTTAAATAGCCAAAAGATGCTATTTAACTTTGACAGATACGCTAAACACAATGAGCGACTAAAATGACATGGTGCAAGAGGATTCACAAAGATAAACAAGAAATTCTATTTAAATATTCCTTAAATCAAGTTAAGACGTTTGGTGCAAGCAGCCCTTAGAATCCGGATTACAAATTAAATTTATAAATTAACATTAAAAGTCAAAAGTTAAAAATCTTTATTCCAATTAGACCTTTACAGGCACTTTTCCAGGAACAGGAACGTCAAACAAAATTTTGATGATATAGTGTCAGTCTGTCGGTCAGTCCTCTTAGTGAAGCTATTTGCTCGTTCCAAAGTGTAGATTCCGATGGAGAAGAACGAGCAAGAAACTCCATGGTTACTCTTTTTAAATCAGTTTCACATACAGATTCCTTTTACAAACAGTTGGTTCAATTATGTGAGAACAGTGTAGCACTAATATTTATTCAAATATAAAAATAAATAAAAAAATTTAATCAGATTCTTGCAGAATTTATTCACTACATATGGTTTTTCAAAGTTGTTATAATTTATCTGTGCTACAATGATATCTCACTTGTAGTATGCTTGCGAAAATTGCAGGTGTGTTAATTTTAGTAAATAATATCTACTAGCTCTTACCCGCGGCGTCGCTCCCGTCATTTGACTACCTACCCTACTCTACTTACCCTACCTACCCTACTTTACATATCCTACATTACCTACACTACTCTACCTACCCTACTCTACCTACCCTACTTTACCTAACCTACTATAACTACCCTACTCTACCGACCCTAGTCTACCTACCCAACTCTACCTACCCTACTCTACATACCCTACTCTACCTACCCTACTCTACCTAACTTACTCTATCTACCCTACTCTACCTACTCTACTCTACCTACCCTACTCTACCTAACCTACTCTACCTACTCTATCCTATCCTATCCTATCCTATGTCCTTCTCCTGGCTATAAACTACCTCCATGCCAATTTTCAGCTAAATCGGTTCAGCCGTTCTTGAGTTATAAGTGGTGTAACTAACACGACTTTCTTTTATATATATAGATAGATTTCAATATCTAAATATAAGATTCACTCCTTAATTTCAATATTATTATGTTTTTAAAACAAAAAGCGCTTCATCCTCTCCTCAAAAAACTAACTTGCTGTGCCCGACAGTGTCCATAATTGTTTCTCTGTAATTTACCTACCAGCCTCGTATATGTCACAGGAAAATAACAAGATCCGTAAGTTTATCAATTTACTAGGAAGTTTATAAGCTTTCGTAAGATTCTAAATGGGAGATAAATTGTAAAATTTTACGTCTACATATTCGTAAATTGATAAACTTACTGAACTCACTCGTAAAATAATAAGTAAGCAGTAACCAAACGCTACGCGCGATCTGATTGGTTGGCTGTCACGTGTCACTTCTCCTTTCTCGCGGCCGCCATTGCTGGCCACGGAACATAAACAAGCCGATTTGCTCGTGCATTTTTATTAGATTTGAATGTTGAACTGTGTTGCAACTGTGAAAAATAGCTTTATTTTGTTAAGATTATCTAGCAGTACCCATAATGAGTGACCTACAAGCTGCGACACAAGCATTGCCACTACGAACATTGACCAATCAGAGAGCAGTGTGTTATTTTACGTATTTCAAAGATTGTATATTTAAAAGACTTTCTGTGATTGGTCGAACCATATAAAATCTTACGAATAGATATTCGTTAGTTTATAAATTTACCGTATGACGTCGGAAGTTGATAAATTTACGAAAATGTGGACGTAAAATATTACAATTTATCTCCCGTTTAGAATCTTACGAAAGTTTATAAACTTTCTAGTAAATTTATAAACCTACGGATCTTGTTATTTTCCGGTGACATATACGTTATGGAATGCAATAAAGTATTAAGTATTGAGTATGTATCCATATTTCGTAAGGATGTTACACCATAACTAATTTAGAACGGCTCCAATAGTTTTAGCCCATGGCCTCATAAATTCACGATCCGCCCATAGCCGTTAAATTCCCTCCACCTCCATAGTATTGTAGTCGTTATTATTTTTTTGTCCCTTTTCAATGGATATTTTTTGCAGAAAATGCAGTGTTTTTTATTTTAACTGTGATTTATCATCGTATAACCAAATCTTCTAAAAGTAATCGTCAAAGAATTTTTATCAATTAACCTATATTAAAAATAGGCCAGGAAAGTTTAAGTATTTCGAAACTACAGTACTGCTACTTGCCAAAAATCGCAGTTAAAATATTAACTCGAATCAATTCTACAACTACCTTTAATAAGAAAGAAAGAAAGAAAAAACATTTATTTGAGACTCGCACAGAAAATAAATACAATTACATTTTATATATACAAAAAAAAAGAAAAGAAACAAACAAAAATAAACAAAACAACAATAAAAAATATAAAAAAATAAAATAAAAGACCTGTGCGAGGTCAAAAAGGCCACTATCTTAGCATATGCTGCGATAATTCACCAGTAGGTAAAAATACCGCAGCGCTGGTATTCTGATAGGGCCTGATCTACTCCTCATACTAAATCAATCCTAACCCTAACTCCAGCCTCTGAACCTCAAAGAGCCAATAGACCACCACAGACGGGCCCCTATAGGGCTGATGTTCAGCCGGGGTTGCGGGTCAAGCGCAATGAGGCACCGAGCCCCGGCCTATAGCAGGAGAAGCAACGGGGGTGTTTTTAGTCAGTAAGAGTCTGACAGTCCCTCCCGCCTCACTGAGAAGGAGAAGTAATTTAATGAGTTTCCCTATCCCTAATCCTTTCCCAATACCCTCCACAGCTGTTCTCCTTCGGTAAGCGTGTGTATAGGAATCCTCCCAAGATACGTGTGTCAAGAGATCAGCCTAAACGGATCGATCATTTAATATTCTTAGTCCACGGCGCCGGAGAGTATAAATGCCAGAAGGAAAAAAATGTTAGTTTGATTTTCGTTACGTAGATTTTTTCTTGTTCTTCCTCTTTATACTAACTTCCTTTTTTATGGGATAAGTCGGATAACGAACAGATGGGTTACCTGATGGTAAGCGATCGGCGCAACGCTAAAGAAGATACAAAGTTTTGTAATCGGCTCTCCCAGCCATACTTCGGCACTATTGGGTCAGCTCGACGGGAGTGATACCACGGCCTCACAGAAAGCCAAAGTCCAATGCTTCCCGTCCCCTTATCCCGAAATATCCAAATCCCTAATGGCCCTGTGGCTTGGAGAGCCCGTTCTGCATATAGCAACGGAAAGTGACGTTGGCTTATATAGTACAAATTTAATAGATAAAATTATTCGAAAACTCTTTGTATTAAATAGTAGCTTTTCCACCTATTTTTGTACATAGCATGTCCAAGACCAATTATATTATTGTTCTTTTTTGCTCCTAAACTTGCCTTTATTTGTTTTTCTTTAAGCATTTCTTTTATAATGTAACTGCATAGTTCACCATTGAAAAATCAAAGGCTATTTATGATGATGTCCCTAAAAATCTATCAAGGAACATACCTATATAAGCATAATTACTTGAAACTATGTCATTTGACTGCATGGTTGGTGCAATACCTGGGCAACTGGCTGCCGCGCAACGTGTCGCATGTTCGATTCCCGCACGGAACATCTCTTTGTGTGATCTACAAATTGTTGTTCCGAGCCTGGGTGTGATGTGTATGTTTGTAAACACACCCACGATACAGGAGAAAATCCTAAAAAATGCCTAAAAAGTTTCAAAAAATGCCTTTATCGATTTGGCTAATTTTGGATTTGAATTATTCGTAGATTAATAATTAATTAATGATTAATTATTTGTATTTTTAATAATAATGATAAAAATCCACAGCAGTCCATTTCTCGACCCCGTGTTGTGAGAAGGGGTCATGACGAGTCTGAAATTGAGGATACAGAGCCATCTAGTATCGATCACCTGTTACTACTCTGTCATGGCGTCGGTTCCGCTTGTGATATGCGCTTCCGGTCCGTTGAGGAAGTTGGTGAGTTTTTTTTTATTAGTTTTTAAAGGGTTGATTTTTCAATGGTTAGATAAAAGTTACCTGGGGATTAATTTATGATGTTGTCGCGTCAGAATGTTTCTATAAGACAGTGACAGCAACAATTGGGATGTCTCCTGGGTTAAAACAACAAGATTCTAATGAGTCCGTCAGTTAGATTATAGAAAAATACTCGATACGTATTTTTTTATTTGTCCATACCAATAATGTTGACAAAGATACAGCACATTCAAATTCAGGAGTCGGGGCTCGTGACATCACTCTTTCGTAACAGTTTTACGAAATAATGACGTAGCGCAAACTTTCGCCGCTCTGTAACTTTGTTATTTTATGTTTTAGAAGCAAAATAAAAAATACGTATCTACTAATAGGTCTTTACCTATGAAATTGCCGTTCTGCAGTACTGGCCATTAATTCAAATCAAAATAGTTTTTCTTAGGCTAAGGCTAATTAATTTTGTTTTAAAAACATGGGATTCTTTTTCCAAAAGTAGTCATTTATTTATTGATTAGTGTTACATTTACATCGCATTTAAAATCAAAAAATTAGTTTAAATTTTTTCATGCAAAACGGCAATTTCATAGGTATTGACCTATTATTTTCTGGCGTTCTAAAAGATGGATTAATTATTATTTTTTAGTCGTCATCCCTATTTTAGTCCTCGGATAACATTTATCTGACTATTGAAAAAACTGCTCTAAAAGTAATAATTTCGTGTCACATATTAAATTTACTGAAAATAACAACTAACTGAGAAAAGTCTCTACTAGTTTCAAATCTCATCCGCACTCTTACTCATAGTCTCGCAGTCCTTAATCGAAAACAACTTTTGTTTGGTTTTCAGTGGAAGACTTCAGGACGACCAGTCTTCAGCTGATACAGTCTCACTACAGGAACTCATACGACCAGGGCATCGTCAGTAGAGTTGAGGTAAGAACTATATTATTTTATTATTAATACATTAAACCCCTAGAGAACGCCGGCGTTCGAGAACGTCCATGTACTTCCCATTTCATAATATACAATACTAGCTTCTCTCGCGCGGTTTCACCTGCTGCTCGACTCAATTTGATCGTAGCGTGATGTTTTATAGCCTATAGCACTCAAGAACATTGTAGCTATCTATCAGTGAAAGAATTTTGGCAATCCGACCAGCGGTTCCAAAGATTACCCCCTACATACAAACTTACAAATTTTACCTCTTTATAATATTAATTCGTGACTTTTGACCCCTAGGTACTTCCGATATCATGGCACGCGACCCTTCATTCGGGCGAGACAGGCGTCGACCGCCGTCTCTCACAGATCACCCTAGACAGTATACCACGACTTCGCAGCTTTACGAACGAAACAGTTCTCGATGTACTATTCTATACCAGCCCTGTTTTCTGCCAGGTATGTGTTTTATGACCCCCATGTTCGTGTCTAGTGACCCCATGTTCGTGTCTAATGACCCCATGTTGATTACAGCAGAAATTTTTCGTTTTTTTTTATGTGATTGGTCGGCAAGCAAGCCTACGAATTACCTGATGGTAAGCAATCAGCGCCGCGCTTAGACATACGCAACAACAGAGGAGTTACGAGTGCGTTACTGACCTTGGGGGCTTAGTGATTGGGGGAGGGAAAGGATTGGAGCTCTGGTAATGTCAAACACAGCGCTATGGTTGTTTCACGCCGGTTTTCAGTGTGTATAATAATAATAACTGTACAGTTTTAAAAATAACTTTTTTGAAACAATACTTAACATGAAAGAACATTGTTTTTGTTGTTATGTCGTGGTGGCCCGGAGGTTAAGGAGCCCGCTTCTCATGCACGAGGGTGTGGTTTCGAAACCTGGCAAGTACCAATGTGACTTTTCCAAGTTATATGTTCTTTCTATGATTATTTAGACACCACTGACATACGATGAAGGTAAACATCGTGAGGAAACCTCGACTTATAATTTCTAATTATTGAGCAAGCGTGGTGATTGATGCTCTAACCTTCTCCGTATGAGAAGAGGCCTTTGCTCAGCAGGGGTCACTAATAGGCTGATGATGATGAACATTGTTTATTAAGGTTTAGATTTGCACTAAATGATGAAGAAAATTGGTACCAAAAATACACTTAAAGCCATATAACATTCTCTATTATAAAAATTTTTTTCGCAGACAATTCTAGACACAGTTTGCAAGGAACTCAATCGCATCTACGAGCTGTTTCTTCAACGTAATCCCAATTTCAAAGGCGGGGTCTCTCTAGGGGGTCACTCTTTGGGCAGCGTCATTTTATACGACCTTCTGTGCCATCAAAATGAAGTGAGTATAATATTCATTTTAAGGTTGATTTTTCAATAGCCTTAAAAATGTTATCTGAGGAATAAAATTGTTGCTGTCCCTGTCTTATTTACACAAACATTATATACATTATATATACATATATACAAACATTCTGACGCGACAGCATCATAATTATTCCACAGGTAACTTTTATCTAACCATTGAAAAATCAGCCTTTAACATTTTATGTACAATATTAATCTGGGATCGAGTGTTGATGTGTCTGGTTCTGGTCGGACGGCGAGTAAAGGTACCCCAGAACCAGACCCGAGAGTACGGCGCGTAGCGTTCCGCGCGCGCCTCAAAGAGCCAATAGACCACCACAGACGGGGCCCTATAGGGCTGATGTTCAGCCGGGGTTGCGGGGTAAGCGCAATGAGTGCGTTGCCGGCCGTTTACGGATAAGAGTTTCGAATATTTAAGGAATGGTGAGAGGTGGTTGGCCTTGGGTAACCTCACTCACACGGCGAAACACAACGCTCTGGCTATTTCAGGCCGGTTTTCTATGAGGCCGTGGTATCACTCCGGTCGAGCCGACCCATTCGTGCCGAAGCATGGCTCTCCCGCACCATATTTATATAGTATTTAAATGTATTCTAGGTATCAAAAGAAGATTCTTGTCAGAAGGTTTCGGACAAGAATTATGTGAACGGCCCGGCTGGTACGGGTCAGCCGACCGTACGGTACCCACAGCTGGTGTTTGCGCCCGCCGCGTTATACGCATTGGGAAGCCCCATAGGTATGTATAAAGTGGTACTACCCGTGCCAATAAAGAATGGGATTAGAAATGGCGGCTCATTGAGCTGGGAGCGTCAGCATAAAAGTGCAATAACAATACATTCAACTATAGTCAGAATTTTAATTTGATTCCAGATTTGATACTAACCACTGTCATTTTGTGAAATAATGGTACCACATAATAACAGTGTAGTGATGAACACAAAAATCGATAAACAATCAGTGAACCAGTTACAGAAATTCATTCAAAAAATTACGGCTACCGAATGGTCTAAATGCGTATCCCATGTTGTCAAAGAATAAAAAAGAAGGAAAAAATGAGTAAGCTAGATATGTTATTTGACAATAAATATCACAGACACAATTCATAATAAATGTTATAGAAAGTAACAGCGATAGCGATGACGGCGACAATTTATAAAATAAATTGTTACCATAATAAATATTTTTTTTATTAATTTTACACACAATTATAAAAGAAAATCATCAAAACTAAATTATCGGTTCAGAAATATTTAATTTCCTGATAAATTTAGTTCATGAGAGTAAATTTATAAACGAGAGTAATCGATTCGTAATATTCGATTACCATATCGAATAATTTCGCAACGTCACTATTTAATACGTGTCATAACGTTGCAACACTGAAATTGTCAAATCTGGAATCTAATTAAAATTCCGAGTATAATAACTGTATAACGTTAAAAATAATATTATAATTGAAAGGGTTTCGTTATTTCATGAATTAAAATAAAGCTTATGTTAGTTACATTTTGTGATCGTTTTGAGACTACTACGTACGTAGGTACACAAATTGTCAACAAAACCATTACCTAAATCGTGAAGAGGGTAAGGTTGGATATAAACTATTTTCGCTTCATAACTTTAAATACACAAATATCCATATTAATATTGTAAATGTGTAAGTAACTCTGTCTCTCTCTGTCTGTTATGCTCTTTTTTTGTCAGTCGGTACCAACGAGTGTGAGTATAGACGGAAATAACGTGCGAGCGAGAGGTGAATAGATGCGCCGCCATTTCAAATCCCATTCTTTATCGGCACGGGTAATACATATATACTTTTTTATATTGGACTAGCCTGCCACTACTTTCCAAAACCCCTGCAATGTGTGTAAACCAGGATCTACAGTAGATACAACCATGAAATGAGTATTACTATATCTATACTAATATTATAAAGAGGTAAAATTTGTAAGTTTGTATGTAGGGGGTAATTTTTGGAACCGCTGGTCGGATTGCCAAAATTCTTTCACTGACAGTTAGGTACAATGTTTCTGAGTGCTATAGGCTATAAAACATCACGCTACGATCAAATGGAGCCGAGCAGCGGGTGAAACCGGGTGAAAACGAAAAGGACTTCTCTCTTCTCTCGGCCAGGGTGAAGTGGGAGGTAGTGTTCTTACTCTTACTGACTAAAAGGTCCTCCTTCTCTTCTAGGCTGTGGTAGCGTTATATTCTTCCGCTTGTTAGTCAGTAAGGATAAAAACCATGTGGTTTTTTGCCACTAAAGCTAAAAATCACCTCCACAACTCTTTGTGTGATCCACAAATTGTTGTTCCGTGTCTAGTTGAGATGTGTAAGTGAAATTGTATGTTTGTTAACGCACTCATGACTAAAATGCTGGATCGGTTTTGTTGAAATTCGATTTGTAAATAGGTGATAACATGAATTAATACATAGGCTACTTTTTATCAACATAAGCGAGCGAAGCCGCGTACGGAAGCTAGTTTTCTATTTTATTTAGAAAATTTATCGTTAGTAATTTTAACTTACTTGTAATAATTAAAAATCAACCTCTTTATAATGGTATTTATAATTATTATTTCCAGCAATATTCGAGTGTATACGAGGCGTCGAGTCGCTGGGAGTCAGTTTTTCACTACCAACATGCAAGAATTTCTTCAACATTTTCCATCCCTACGACCCTATCGCTTATAGGTAAGTTTCTTAATTTTATTACGCGTGACAAACTACGCGATATGAACTACGCACTTTTAACACCGCGATTTAAACTACGAGCTAAGAACTACGCGTAACATGAACTACGCCACATGAACTACGCCACATGAACTACGCCACATGAACTACGCGTAACGAACTACGCGATATGAACTACACACTACAAACTACGCGTTACGAACTACACTCTATAAACTACGTTTTGCATACTACGCGTAATGAACTACGCACTATAAACTACGCGTAACGAACTACGCCATATTAACTACGTGTAATGAACTACACGATATGAACTACGCGCTATAAACTATGCGTTATGAACTACGCACTACAAACTAAGCGTTACGGACAACGCGTTACAAAAAACGCGCTATGAACTACGCGTTACACACTACGCGTAATGTACTACGCACTATAAACTACGCGATATGAACTACGCACTTTAAACACCGCGATTTAAACTACGCGATTTAAACTACGCGCTAAGAACTACGCGTAATATGAACTACGCCACATGAACTACGCCACATGAACTACGCGATACGCATACTACGCGTAACAAAATATGCACTATGAACTACTCACTACAAATTACGCGTTACGAACTACACTCTATAAACTACGTTTTGCATACTAAGCGTAATGAACTACGCACTATAAACTACGCGTAACGAACTACGCCATATTAACTACGTGTAATTAACTACACGATATGAACTACGCGCTATAAACTATGCGTTATGAACTACGCGATATGAACTACGCACTATAAACTAAGCGTTACGGACAACGCGTTACAAAAAACGCGCTATGAACTACGCGTTACACACTACGCGTAATATACTACGCATTACAAACAAACGCACTATACGTCGTCGAAACGCCGTGGATGGTTTAGATTCACAAATCACTTTCATGGCACCTAACGATACATACAACACAAAGGAACCAACGATAAATTTTGCTGAAATTTGATATGTAGGGTTTTCAGGAAGGGTCCTTTATTATTAGTATAGATATAGTCTGATTTTCTTCTGTAAATAAATATTTAATTTTGTTCCCAGAATCGAACCCCTTATTAACCCGGTGCTGCGAGATTTGAAGCCGTTTCTCATCCCACATCATAAGGGCAGGAAGAGAATGCATTTAGGTAAGTTTCTGAGTCATCATCATCATCATCAGCCTATAAGTGCCCACTGCTGAGCAAAGGCCTTCTCACACGAAGAAGGTTTGAGCATTAATCATCACGCTTGCTCAATGCGGATTGGTGATTTTAAACTTGTTAGAAATTATAAGTCCAGATTTCCTCACGATGTTTACCTTTACCGTATGTCAGTGGTGTCTAAATAATCATAGAAAGTACATATAACTCGGAAAAAGTCACATTGGTACTTGCCAGGTTTCAGACCCTTATGTATGAGAAGCGGGCGCCTTAACCTCTAGGCCATAACGAGTTTTTATGTAAATTTGATGTAAAAAATATCATCAAATTATTCTTAACTAGCTTTTGCCCGTGACTTCGTTCGCGTGGAATAGTGACTTCCTGCAGATTATTGGTATAAAAGCTATCCTATGCCCTTTCTCGAGTTCCAAACTATGTCTGTACCAAATTTCACAAAAATCCAGTTCAGTAGTTTAGGCGTGAAGAAAAGACAGACAGACAGACAGAGTTATTTTTCAATTTATGATATTAGTTTGGATTTGGATTATAAATTCCGCTCTCGTCATTTGTCCTTCCTATAGCTATGCAGTTGGATTGCAACGATGGAGCTTCTTGCTCGTTCTTCTCCATTCAAATCTACAATTCGGAACAAGCACCTAGCTTCACTGACGAACAGACTGACAGACTACTATTCTATTTTGTGGTGTGGGTCGGCAAACGAGCAGACGGATTACCTGATGGTAAGCAATCAGCGCCGCCCATGGACACCTGCAACATCAAAGGAGTTGTTGTCGAGTGCGTTGCCGGCCTTTTAGGGATAAAGATTTAGGATAATTAAGGATTGGGAAGGGATGGGGGAGGGGGAGGGATTGGGCCTCGGCGAAACACAACGTTGTGGTTGTTTCACGCCAGTTTTGTGTGAGGTCGTGGTATCACTCCGGTCGAGCCGACCCATAAGTCGATGCCGAAGCATGCCACACTTATACTATTTTGACGTTTTTTTTACCTATTTATGATTTAGTTGGCATAAATGATTTTGACTTTGACTTTCCCTGTCTATTTTCATCGAAATTGGTTCATAATATGTTGTTTTATACTATGTAGTGGTTAATTGAAATTTATATATTTTGTTTCCAGAATTGAAAGACACGATGGCTCGAGTGGGTGCTGATCTAAAACAGAAACTGCTGGAGTCACTAAGGAGTACGTGGAACAAATGGAAAACGCAGCCAACTGAAGGTCAACTGGAAAAGGTGGGTACACTACTCATCATCATCATCATCATCAGCCTATAAGAGCCCACTGCTGAGCAAAGGCCTCTTCTTACACGGAGAAGGTTTAATCACCACCCTTGCTCAACCGGAGGCCCAATCCCTCCCACTCCCCTATCCCTTCCCGATCCTTATATCCCCAACCCCTATCCCCAAAAGGCCGGCAACGCACTCGTAATTCCTTTGGTGCTGCGGGTGTCCATGGGCGGCGCCGATTGCTTACGATCAGGTAATCCGTCTGGTCGTTTGCCGACTTATACCATAAAAAAAACGCGGATTGGCGATTTCAAACTTATGATCAGTATTGAGGCCAGGTTTCCTCACGATGTTTTCCTCCTAAAAATATTTGTTACTCTTTCACGTAAAAAATTACATGAGCTTAGAGATAGATTGATACAATCTTGGGTACAAAGTAGGCTACTTTTTACCCAAGTACATCGACCGAAGCCGGTAGCAAAAACTATACTCGGAATTTTAATTCCGTTCCAGATTTGACAATTTCAGTGTTGCAACGTTATGACAAGCACTAAATAGTGACGTTGCGAAATTATTCGATATGGAAATCGAATATTTCTGAATCGATTCCTCTCGTTTATAAATTAACTCTCGTAAACTAAGTTAATCAGGAAATTAAATATTTCTGAACCGATAATTAAGTTTTGACAATTAATTAACGATCTGAGACTTTTCTTTTGTAATTGTGTGTGAAATTAATAAAAAATGTGATCGTGAAGGAACATGACAAATAAAACAGAAATTTTATAAAATGTCGCCGTCATCGCTATTGCTGTCGCTGTAACTTTCTATAACATTTATTATGAATTGTGTCTTTGATATTTATTGTCAATTAACATATCTAGCTTACCTACTCATTTTTTCCTCTTCTTTGACAACATGTGATACGCATTTAGACCATTTGAAAGCCGTAATTTTTTGAATGTCTTCGATTATCGATTTTTGTGTTCATCACTACACCATTATAATGTGGTATCATTATTTCACAAAATGACAGTATTTAATGTCAAATGTGGAATCGAATTAAAATTCTGCCTATAGTTAATAATATCGTAATTTCTTTTTCAGGTCGTTGAAGAAGAGTTGGAAAAGGAACAGCTGACGGATGATAGCAAAGAAGACTTGGCGAGAGAAACTGAATTGGTAAGATCATGTTATCATCATCATCATCATCAGCCTAATTCCGTCCACTGCTGGACATAGGTCTACGCAATTGTCCGCCACTAGTACTTGTAGGAGAGCTATGCTTCGGCACGAATGGCTCGACTGGAGTGATACGACAGCCTCACAGAAAACTGTCGTGAAACAACCACAACGTTGTGTTTCGCCGTGTGAGTGAGGTTACCGGAGACCAGATCCTTAAATATCCAAAACCCTTATCCCTTTTTTTTTTTTGTGAGGGGAAAATCATCAAATGACTTCTCCCGCCCAGGGCCGGGCAGGAGGGAGTGTCAGACTCTTACTGACTAAAAACCCCCCTGTTCCTTCTCCTGCTCTGTGCCGAGGTCGCGGTACCTCATTGCGCTTACCCCGCAACCCCGGCTGAACGTCAGCCCTTTAGGGCCCCGTCTGTAGTGGTCGAATGGCTCTTTGAGGCGCGCGCGGAACGCTACGCGCCGTACGCTCGGGCCTGGTTCTGGTCGGGCGGCGAGCTGCCCTTACTCGCCGACCGCAGGCCCGTGCTTACGGTGGCCGGATATCGTCCCTCGATCCCCGACGCCCGTAGTGTCGCCAGTTGCGGCTGCTGGGGCGTGAGGAGGAGGATTGCTCCCTCACGCGGGCCGCCTCTCTCTTTGCGAGCATGACTGCTTCACAAAAGGAGAAGACGGCGTCCCAGTTCCTCTCACTCCGCACCATGGCCTCGACTAAGGCCGGGCGCGAGAGGTCGCCGCCGCCGATCACTTCCCTGAGGATACGGCGGTGCTCAGCCCAGGCAGGGCATACCGCTACCGTATGCTCCACCGTATCCTCTAGGTGGTCCTCACAATGACGACACTCGGGCGTTTCCTCCCGCTGAATCCGAAACAGGAACCTACCGAAGCTGCCGTGCCCGGTAAGCACCTGCGTCAGACGGAAGGTGAGGACGCCGTGGCGTCTCTCAAGCCACTCCTCAAAGAGGGGTCTTACCGCTGCTATGGTAGCGTGCCCGGCCCTCGGTTGCGACAGTCGTTGTCTCCACTCTGCCATGAGATCTCGCCGGAGCTCATTCCGCCACGCACTAATTTGGCGCGGCAGAGGATCTTCGCCCCGGCGACGCGCGTCTGCGCGCAAACTGTAGACGCGCGCGAGCGCCTTCGCTTCTAGATCCCACGGCGGTGATCCGGCAAGGAGGTTCGCCGCCTCCCCGGAGATCGTGCGATACCCGCGGATTACTCGTATAGCCATGACCCTCTGGGACGCGACCAGCGTACGAGCCGGCCGCCGCTTCAAGTCCGGCGCCCACACAGGGGCACCGTAGAGGGCCATGGATCGCACAATCCCCATATACAACCTCCGGCAGGAGGCGTTTGGCCCCCCAAACCCTTATCCCTAAGAGGTCGGCAACGCACTAGTAATTCCTTTGGTGTTGCGGGTGTCCATGGGCGGCGCTGATTGCTTACCATCAGGTAATCCGTGTGCTCGTTTGCCGACCTATCCCATAAAAAAAACTATGGACAATAAATAATACTATAAGTTCAAATATTTGCAACGTGTCGTGGGTTCGATTACCGCACGGAATAGCTCTTTGTGTGATCCACAAATTGTTCCGGGTCTGGGTGTGATGTGTATGTGAAATTGTATGTTTGTAAACGCACCCACGACACAGGAGAAAATCCTAGTTTGGAGCAACGTTTTATTTTAAATAACAATGGGAATTATATCTGGCCTTCTTCCAAACAAAAAAAGCCATCCTACTTATATTATAAACTAGCTTTTGGCCGCGACTTTGTTCGCGTGGAATAGTGACTTTCTGCAGATTTTATTTAAAAACTTTCTCGAGTTCCAAACTATGTCTGTACCCAATTTCACAGGCATCGGTTCAGTAGTTTAGGCGTGTAGGAAAGACAGACAGACAGAGTTACTTTCGCTTTTATAATGTATATAGTTTGGATGTGAACGTTTGCGAAAATGTATGTGTGTATGTATGTATGTTTGTCACACTTTAACGCAAAAACGACTGGACCTATTTGGATGAAATTCGGTTTGTAGATAGGCGATGCCATGGATTAACATGCAGGGGGCAAAACTGCGGAAATATAACAAATAAATATAATAAATGTATTTTTCTTACAGGCAACTCCAGAGAAGCTGGGTCGCTTAAATGGCGGTCGTCGCGTGGATTATGTACTACAGGAAGCACCTTTAGAAATGATCAACGAATACCTATTCGCTATGAGCAGTCACGTCGGTTATTGGTGAGTGAATAATAAATAGACCGGCAAACGAGCGGACGGATTACCTGATGGTAAGCAATCAGCGCCGCCCATGGACACATCCGCAACGGAGGAGTTACGAGTGCGTTGCCGATTTAGGGATTGGGGAAGGGGAAGAATCGGGCCTCCGGTAATCTCAATCATACGGCGAAACACAACGCTGTGGTTGTTTCACGCCGGTTTTCTATGAGGCCGTGGTATCACTCCGGTCGAGCCGACCCATTCGTGCCGAAGCATGTTTCTCCTACACTTAAATAATGTTATATTTTTATTATTTATTTAGACTTGTAACAAAGAGACCCCTATATAAAATAGCTAACAGAATATGATCTTGTGCTTTTCCCATTAATAAGCAATGTATATGCAATATTATAAAAATCCGCGGTCAGATGTCCGCGTGGATGTCGAATTTACACTTTTTAAAATTTTCTCTACGTACAAACCTTCTCTGGACTTCCACAAATAATTCAAGAACGAAATTAGCCAAATCGGTAAAGGCATTGTTGAGTTATAACGTTACAACGAAAAGTGGCATTGAGTTTTTTATATATAGAATTATTTATTTGGACTTCTAACAAAGAAAACACTTAAAATGCTAGATAACATAATAAACAGAATATGACCATGTGCTTCTCCCATTATAATTTTAATGGTTGGCTAACTAGCAAACGGATTACCTGATGGTAAGCAATCATCGTCGCCCATGGAGAAGGAACGGGAGTGTTTTTAGTCAGTAAGAGTCTGTCACTCTCTCGCCTTATTTGAAGAAGGAAAAATATGGAGAAATTATTTGATGATTTTCCTCTGACAAAAAAAAAATCCTGACTGTCCTTCAACCAAGAATAAGTTTTTTAGTCGGGGGAAAATCATCAAATGACTTCTCCCGCCCAGGGTCGGGTAGGCGGGAGTGTCAGACTCTTACTTACTGACTAAACCCCCCCCCCCCTGTTCCTTCTCCTGCTCTGGACCGAGGTCGCGGTGCCTCATTGCGCTTACCCCGCAACCCCGGCTGAACATCAGCCCTATAGGGCCCCTTCGGTGGTGGTCTATTGGCTCTTTGAGGGCTATGCGCCGTACGCTCGGGTCTGGTTCCGGTCGGGCGGCGAGCTAACCAAAAATAACCCTACCTTTCTTTAATAATCAGGGAATCTGAAGACACGATGCTCCTAATACTCCGAGAGATTTACTCCGCGCTGGGTGTCCAGCCTGACTCCACGGTGCCCCAGCAAAATATGACTGTACAGAGGACTAGGCCTGTCAAACAGGTTTGTAACTTACTTTAAACTTTATTTTTATGTCATAGTCAAACGAGCAGACGGATTACCTGATGGTAAGCAATCGACGACGGTAAAACAAACTCGTAACACCATAGAAATACAACGCTGTGGTTGTTTCACGCCGGTTTTCAGTGAGGCCGTGGTATCACTCCCATTAGTGCCGAATCATGGCTCTCCCATACTCAATGAAAGCCACGCATTTATAGTTATTTGCTTTCTATGACTCAGTTACAATCAATTTAACCATCACTACTAAAATTTAAAGATTAATTCGTGTCTAAATAATCATAGAAAGTACAACTCGGAAAATGTCACATTGGTACTTGCCATGTTTATGACCGCAACCTCATGCATGAGAAGCGGGCTTAACCTCAAGGCCACCTAGACTTTAATTCACTCTCTTGTACCTATTACAAACTAGCTTCGCGCCCGTCATTTGACTACCTTACTTAGTTACCTACCTCCCTTGACTATCCTACCCTCGACATCCTCGGCCTTATTACAAAACAAGGTTTTACTTTAGTCCAGGACTAAACCATTGAGCCAGTTGTCGTATTTCGAATTGAAGGTAGATGACAATAAGATTCAAAATTCAAAACCCGACTCAATGGTTTAAACCTGGACTAAAGATAAACCTTGTTTTGTAATAAGGTGGCCTATGTCTTTCTCCCAGCTCTTAGCTACTTCCCTACCAATTTTCAGCCAAATCGGTTCAGCCGTTCTTGAGTTATAAATAGCTTATTATGGAATAAGTCGGCAAACGAGCAGACGGATTACCTGATGGTAAGCAATCAGCGCCGCCCATGGACACTCGCAACACCAAAGGAGTTACGAGTGCGTTACCGGCCTTTTGGGGATAGGGGTTGCGGTTATTAGGATCGGGAAGGGATAGGGGAAGGGAAGGGATTGGGCCACCGGTAACCTCACTCACACGGCGAAACACAACACTGTGGTTGTTTCACGCCGGTATTCTGTGAGGCCGTGGTATCACTCGAGCCGACCCATTCGTGCCGAAGCATGGCTCTCCCACATTACCTACTATATTCATATATAGAATTTGCGGAATACCGTAAGATATAATTGATTGATGATGTAATTTTTAATTTATATTTTTTTTATTCTTTTCAGGATGAAACGATAATTGTAAATTCATCGCCTTCAGGTGAATATGACTCTTTTTTTTAATTAGATTTTTTTATTTTGACCTATTTGTTAATTAGAATTCATAGAAATAATTTATTTAACATAATAATTGTTTAAATAATTCTCTTGTAAGGCCAACGAAAATAGTTTTTTCAATATTTAGCAAGATGTGTGTTATGTTTTAGCTGAAAAAAAAAGTTACCTTACTTTAATAGTCAAAAATATTGTTTCTAAGACGTTCCATTCTTTTTCGACTTAGTGCTGATTTTTCAATAGTCAGATAAATGTTATCTGAGGAATAAAATTGTTGCTGTCACTGTCTTATACAAACATTGTGACGCGACAGCATCATAATTATTCCCCAGGTAACTTTTATCTAACCATTGAAAAATCAGCCCTATCTTCTAGCAAAAAGCTAGTATCAATCACAGACCTTTACATATGTTTTTTTTGTTTCTTTTTACAGATTATCCATCAACGAGCCGGGACGCGATATGAAAGTATAACACTTTCTAGAAAAAAATAGTTTAATTTTTATATATATATATAAATGTATATTGTATTTAAGAAAACCTCTATCCGAACGAATATGAATTATTATTGTTATAATACGGCTTGACCGCAGTGATACCACGCGCAGAAACCGGCGTGAAACAACTACAGCGAAAAGTAAGGTTACCTACCTTGCTTTTTTTTTGTGAGGGGAAAATCATCAAATGACTTCTGGTGCCCAGGGTCGGGCGGAAGGGAGTGTCAGACTCTTACTGACTAAAAACCCCCCCCGTTCCTTCTCCTGCTCTGGGCCGACGTCGCGGTGCCTCATTGCGCTTACCCCGCAGCCCCGGCTACCTATAAAGGCTTAGGTTGTGTTTCGCCGTGTGAGTGAGGTTACCGGAGGCCCAATATTTCCCCACTCCCATTATCAATCCTCAAATCCCCTATCCCCAAATCCCTAATAGCCCACAAGAGGCCGGCAACGCAGTTGTAGTAACTCCTTTTGTACTACGATTGTCAATGGGCGGCGCTGATTGCTTACCATCAGGTAATCCGTCAGCTCGCTTGCAGACCTATGGCATTAAAGAAAAAGAAAAGAAAGGCTGGTTCCGCGTTTGTAACTTGTGGTACTGCGTCTGTACACAGATTGCTTCCTTCATTAAAATTTTATCGTTTTTTTTTTTTAAATATGTTAGAGAGCGATGCTAAGGCACGATTGGTTAGGCTCGACCGGAGTGATACCGCGGCCTCAGTACCAACGTGAAGTAACTCTTACGATGTTTTCGCTGTGTTTACCGGAGGCCCAAGTCTTCCCCGCGTCCTCAAACCTCAAATCGTCCATCCTTCAATCCACAAGAAGCCGGCGGCGCCGATTGCATACCATTTTTTTTATGTCAGGGGAAAATCATTTTCTCCCGCCCAGGGCCGGGCGGGATGGAGTGTCAGAGTCTTACTGACTAAAAACCCCCCTGTTCCTTCTCCTGCTCTGGGCCGAGGTCGCGGTGCCTCATTGCGCTTACCCCGCAACCCCGGCTGAACACCAGCCCTATAGGGCCCCGTCTGTGGTGGTCTATTGGCTCTTTAACGCTTCGCTCGGATTGCTTACCATCAGGTAGTCCGCCTGCTCGTTTGCTGACCAATACCATAAAAAATACGTTTTTCTGATTATACCAATTTTTGTGAAATTCTCATCCAACACTTATAGGGCTATCTCCGATAACTGTAGCGTTTTTATATTTTTTTAAAGTTCGTATATTGGTTTTCTTAAATTATTGTATATATTTAATAATTATTTACATACATATTATACATACTAACACTATATAGGTATATATACATTATAATATGTATTTCGTGAAAAAATAATGCATTTTTTTTCTCTACGTACCTACCTAAATTTTTTTGGTTATCGTTCGAAAAATAAGTGATTTTTTTTTTCGAATTATTGTAAAAAATCGTTATGTAGAATATAAGGATTGATTTAACTGGAAATTATTGGAAAAAAATGTAAGAAACTAAAAAAAATAGTATTTTTTTCAGTAAATAGTGTTTAGTATTAAAAATATATTGACGATACTACGAGTTTTGGGTTAGTAAAAAAGTTTTATTTTTAATATCATTTTTTTTGTAATTTTCTGCTTGTTTCTCATTTTTTAGAAGCAATTTTATTTAAAAAAATATGTGGAAATAAGCAGAAAATGTGAAATATAAATAAAGAAACAAAAAAAAAAACGTAAAAAATGCAGTATTTCATGTCAACAAAAATAAGAAAACAAGTTTTTTTCTATACCAGAAAAAAATTGCAAAGAAAAAAATATTTATGAAAAAAAAATTACAATCTACAAATTGTAAGTAAATTATTTCAGTAAGAAAACGAAATATTTTTCTTGTTATTTTTTTTTATCTAGAAAAATCTGTTATGACGCACTGTGTTGAGAAAGAAAAATAGAAATAATGTTATTTATTATAATGACATTATTATATAAAACAATACATTTTAAAACACTGTCTATACTTTATTTCATTGTACTTTGTTTAGACCAGATTTTTCAATAGCCAGAAATTTTATCTGAGGAATAAAATTGTTGCGACAGCATCATAATTATTCCACAGGTAACTTTTATCTAACCATTGAAAAATCAACCCTAACACCCGGTTTCTGAAAGGCTTGTCAACGCTAAAATTAACTAATCTTTTGTTAAATCTCTTGTCAAGTCATCTGATTGGTTGTTGATAATTCAGTCAACAATCAGTTGACTTGACAAGAGATTAAATTGATTTTAACATTGATCGGCCTTTCGGATACCGGGTGTAAGTAATAAAATCTAAGAATCTGTATTTCAAACACTGGTAATTGTTGTATCATTACAAAACTTGGCATTGTGTGTACATTAGATGACAATACAATGTTATGGTACCATCGAGCTGGCGATCATACGGTCATCGGTGGAGAAAAACATCGTCAGGAAACCTAAACTTTATAATTTCAAATTATAAGTTCGAAATCGCCAATAAGCCTTGAACAAGCGTGGTGATTAATTCTCAAACTTTCTCACCTACCTTCATAATTATCAGCTGGAAGACGTCCACTGGACAAGGGCCTCGCAAGGTCTGCCCACGCAGCGTCTTCCGGTCCGTGGTCGCCACTCAAGTACTTTTCTAATCCATCAACCGTTAGACCTTCGAGAGATGTGGCCTGCCCATTGCCACTTCAGCTTGCAATTTCTAAAAGCTATGTCGGTGACTCCAGTTCTTTAGTCTTAACTTCATTAAAATTAATTACTCTTTGGATTTAAATCAGATATTATTTTGGGTAATGTGCTTTCTGCCCTCAAAGAATTTCCCGATAAAGTTATGTGGCTAGGAGTTCATAAAAATTGGGTTCTACATTCTGTATCTTGAAAATACTGGTTTTCTACTATATTACGGTAGTTTCCAACTAGTCTCTCCATTCCCTACTTCAGAAAAATTTGGCAACGCACTCTTAACTCTTTCTTTGTTGCGCAGTTATCATATCTCAGTTCATGGGCGGCGCTGTTTGCTTACCATAAGGTCACGTGCAGCTCGTTTGCCAACCTACAAAATAAAACAGCGGCACACTAACGCACATGTGAAAAACTAATACGGTTAAACGACAAAGTGAGATGGCATGATTCAATAATCGCGAGTGAAAATGAAACAAATATAAAAAAAGTGTGGCTAGTTAGCCACATTTTAATGTGTCACTTTTTGAGCGATTATAACCTATCTACACCTTTTTACTTATAATATCATTGGTTACTTCCTATAATTTTCCCTAAACCCAATATCTAGATATAGATTATCTATTATGTTTATAATATTTTCTCCCACAAATGACTTTCAAAGTACACGTATCTTCACTGATTTTATGGGAGTCTACCTTCAGGCGATCCGTCTGCTTGTTTCCCGCCTTATCCTCATAGAAAAAGCCAATTTATCATTAATGTTTTTAAACAGATTCTTTTTTTTTCGATTTTTTCTTGTTTTTTGCGGCGCCAAATTCTTATGTTTGTATTTTTTGAATAACCACAGTCGACATGAAATGATTGGGATATTTTGAGTGCCAGTAAATTCCGTTTCAAAATTATACGTATTTTAATATATAAATATGAAATTGTTTTTTAACTCCAACTAGCTTATTAAAGTCTAATTCGCACTTTACAATGCCTTGTCCGGGCCATGGTTACTCTTAACGGTCAATGAAGTGCTGGCAAGTATTGTCTCCTGGCTCATCTATGGCCCAGACACGGCACAGAATAGCCTGAATCATTCTTTACTTGTCAATATAAATTAGTTTGATCAATAATAAAAACTATTTTATAATGAAATTTCTTTATTAAAAACGTCGTCCATATTTCAATTAGTTCTATGTCAAAAAGTATAAGTAAGTTTACGGGAGAGTTAAAAAAAAACGGCGTACCTACTGAAAAAAAACTTTCAGTAGGTACCTAGCAAAATATTTTTTAACGAATGTTTCCCTAACTATGGTATGAAACTTATTCAGTCGCATTCAAAATTAAAATTGAAGCGTATCTAAGTAATTTTTTTTTTGACATTGAACAAATTTCAATTTGCACTACGATAAGAACTTTTGCTTAAAAAGATGGCGCTAATGTAGAGGCAGGTCTAATTGTCCATTTACAGTAGCTATGCAGAATTTAATATTATTCAATAGTTTGAGATTAGCTAATAATTCACTATTTGACAAACGGGACATCTATACACATAATCGAGATACGCTACCCTTCATAGCAAAACATAAATTTATATTCTTGTTGAATAATTACAACGTGACAGAGATCTTGGCGCCATTTTTAACGTCAATGTCGAAGTAGAAAACTTTCGATTTTGAGGTTATGTTACATTCATTCTGTCATACATTCTTATTATTATAGTTTTAGTCAAAGCTACTTGGATTCCAAGCTCTATTTATTTAAAACGACACAATTGTTATATCATTTTGTTTTTAGGTTACTTTCATTACTATATAAACAACAATCATGTGAACTAAATTGTTAACTTAATAAAGTTTATATTTTACTAGTTTTGAGTTTTATTTCTTACAAAACCCTCGTTCGATATCTGGAAAGAACCATTTTGATATTTTTTTCGTTTACGTAATATCTAGTTGTGGCTAAGGAAAACGTCGTAGGGAAACTTGATCTTATAGGTATATCTATACTAATATTATAATAATAGGTCTTTAACTATGAAATTGCCGTTTTGCATGAAAAATTTTTTTGATTTGAAATGCGATGAAAATGTAACACTAATCAATAAACAAATGAATACTTTTGGAAAAAGAATCCCATGTTTTTAAAACAAAATTAATTAGCCTTAGCCTAACAAAAACTATTTTGATTTGAAATGGTCAGTACGCAGAACGGCAATTTCATAGGTAAAGGCCTATTATTATAAAGCCGAAGAGTTCGTTTGTTTGAACACACTAATCTCAGGAACTACTGGTTAGAATTGAAAAATTCTTTGTGTTTAATAGACCATTTATTGAGGAAGCTTGCTTGCTTTAGGCTATAAAACATCACGCTACGATCTGTAGGCGCTGAGCAGCGGGTGAAACCGCGCGAGAGTAGCTAGTAAATCAAATATCTAAAGATTTGATATCAATGTACTGTGCACTAGCTACTCTGCTCAACTCCA